ATCCCTCTTACCCCAGCTGTGTCTTGGTATGAAGGAGCCAGATCTGGGGAAAACTCTGTACCACTGTATTTATTAATCTTTCATACCTTGATATCCATTATACTGAATTTGATCCAGCGATGACCCATGTATGCAAGAATGTGAAACACTATGGTTTCAGTTCCAGCTGAGTAATGCTGGAAAAGGGCAAAAGACGGCTTAAAAGGTTACTGCGACTGTTAATGCAGACATGGCTTTTAAGAGACTGTTCAGCAGTCTCTGCCTCTCCCTTCATAAGTTTATATATTTGTGTGTGTGTGTACATATATATATTTTAATATATATCTATAATTTTATTGATAAATTCAGAATTGGGCCACTTTGACTATTCCATTCTCTTCCTGCTTCTGTACTACAACTATGCCCACAATATCTGAATGCCTTCCAATAATGACTAAGTTCATGACTGCCTTCATGTTCTCTGTTCCACTCTGGAGCGGTAGAAGAGCATGCAATGCAGGGTTTTTTTTTTGCTTTTGCTGGATTTTTAATTATATGCATGTACATCGTTCCATCCTTATATAAGTTAGAGGATTCACACCCCAAGGGATGCTCTCCACATTTGCACTGACCCTCCATCAATCTTCACTGAATTACTCTGGCCAGAAGTTTTACCTCCCAGACATAAAGCAAGATTTTGCTTATGTGAAGAATCTAGAGTCTTGTCAATAAAAGTTTATACGTGTTCTGGAACGAAGATCTTTACATTCCAGATATAACTAGACCAGGTAATTATTTTATTCCTATTTTTCTCCTCTTCATTCCGTATCATTTTATTTTCTTCTTATTTTGCGATGCAGCTTATGTTTTTTGTTCAATTCAACATGGTATTGTGCAGGGGCTTACTAGGGAAGATAAGTTTCTTTATATAAATGCAGAATTAACTCTCACTATTGTAGCTGTATGTTCTAACTGAAATTACTCTGAAAGCGAGGAAAAGACATTCTTTGAACTATTACTGTTTTATAAAGTAACTTTAAGGATGTTCTGAGCTGTCTCTTTGTTTACCTTTGGTATCTTCAGGACTTGCTTGTATCCCTGCCATTGTGCTCTAGGTCTAATTGTGCATCTTGTCCTGCTTTTCTCCCAATATAAGAAGATCTTTTTTGTTACTTGAATGACATGCCTATGTGTAACCTGAGCAGCAAAAGCATAGACTCAGCCACACAAAACTCAGTTCTTCACCAGGGGAAATACACAGGCTCTGCACAAGCCAGGGTTCAAGGCACTGAGCTGAGACTCATGAGTGTCCGTCACTCTGTAAGCAGGCAATATGCAGGACACTGTGCAAGGATCTGCTGGGAGTCCTCCATCCTACACTTTCATATACTACTCTTAAAAGAGCCCCCGAGAGCTGTGCTGCAGGGCTCTGTGTAACAGCATGCCCCAGGATGTGTGTGGCAGCTGAGGGACAGTTGCCAATCGTTATTTGGAAATGGATGTTTATTCTCCAGAGTCTTCCTGCATTTGCTGCTTAGCAGATACTGCTATCTATCTGCTAAGTTGGACACCGACAACTCCTAGCATCTTCTTCCCTTTCCCTGCCGCTTGGCTGTGGAAAATGCGATGTTGTCCTCACTTCCCCCATGGCAGCCAGCTGCGTCTGTTTCACTCGCAGCGCAAGTTGTAGGAGAAGGATCTTTATTTGCTAAGTGCCGAGGCCAGGCTGTCAGTGAGCCACAGCCTCCTCCAGCCTGGGACTCCCTGCTGATCTGAACCCCTTCCAAAAACTTTTTGGTTGCAGCTTTTATCCTGCTCTAGTACCACACCATTTTTCAAAGCACTTTGCTTTATTCACCGAGGCATGGCGTCCTTGCAAAGGGGATGCTGGGCAGTTTTTGTCACTCCCCTCCACGTGTCCAACAGCCTGCTCGCTCATGGGGACAGAGCCCTTAGTACTCTTCTTCTGAAGCACACGCTGTATCACAAAACTTTGCCTTGATGCTCTTTTGCATTCAAAAGTTTGATTACAGTGTATCTGCGTCTTTACAGCACTCTTGTACAACGCAAAGTACAAACTTCAGCTAACAAACCAGCACTGGGTTCATGCAGTGCAATCTACTGTGTCATCCACAAAATCGCAAGTAGAAGTGTTTGAAATGACAGGAAATCTGTTCTATTTTGGAGTGAATCTTCCTGAATTCGTAAAAAAACCTGTTGTTGTGCAAAGGCAGGATATCGTTAGCCATTTAACAGCCATCAGATCCTCAGCCTAGCTCTCAAATATTAGACTTTAGTTGGCTAATACTACAGTCTGCCTCTAAAGGAAAAGTTTTGCTAAGTTCAAATATTTCAAAAGGGTGGCAGCCCTTTTGTACTTGAAGGACTTTGCTAATATGTTGAACTTTTTAAAAACTTAAGGCTTAGGATTTCAACAGAAAAGAGCATCAGTAATTTTCTACCTAGTTTATAATCACAGATGTGGAACTGGCCCACCTCCAGTAGTTTTCAGGTGTGTTCATATTTTTCAGCCACAGTAAGACACTGGTGTTGCACTCCCAAGTCTGAATTATGGCAGATGCCACCGGGATGTGATTTTTCCGATCAAACCAATGCACGTAACACTCCTTTCTTCAGTTACATGCATGCACCCTAGCGCTGTTCTTCCTTCTGTATAGTAGTGTCATACATAAGCCAGGCATACTACTTTACTGAGTCACATATTGGTAATTCATTCAGCACAGACATCCTGATTGTTTCATATTGAGCATAATAAAAAAAAACTTAAGCAAAACCAGCTGAAAACCCAGAGCCTTTATGCACAAGATTGAGCTGCCGCCGAGATCATGATATCACAGAGAGGTTTCCAGTTGCATGGCATCAATTCATATTTATGATATGCTATGGTATAATTTAGCAAAGAATAACTTCAAGAATCATCTGGGACTACTTTTCAGCTCACAAACCATGTCTCAGATGAAGATACTTCTGCCCAAGCTCTCATAGATGCTGTGCAGCCGGCTCTACTTCTGCAGATTAGAAGCAGCTATCCCAAACAAAGGAGGAAACGTTACAGAAATCTAACTTCTCCCGTCAAACCTCTGCACTGACCGAACTCAGATGGCTTTACCACTGTAACTGGGGGAGGAGACCTGTGGCTAAGAAATGCATTTGTCCTGCAGCCACCTCGCAGGAGACAAAAAAGATAGTAAAAAGTGAGACAGGTGGATGTTCCTATCACCTTCTCCAAAGTGGTTAGTCTTACTGTACTTGTTTTCAAGGGAAAATCTGCGAAAGTGTCTTGTTGGCCTGTTCACAGCTGCCATGCCCCCACCAGCTGTTTCAGCTGACCTCAAAGTGTGTCACCTGGGAAAAGGATGGATGCACGTGCTTTAAATTTCAACCGCGACTAATTAGCAAACCTTTTTGTACAAGTTCAAAGAGTTATAAGAAATGGATAAAAAAAATCAAGTACAATACATTCATTAGCATGCATTCTCACCTAGTAAAGACAGTATCTTCAATCTTCCTTTTTATATCAATCTAGATTACATTTTATTTATCAAACCTGCCATATGAATAACATTGTATTACCCTTTAATTTCACCAGGAAATGTAGCTACTGAATGTTTTATTAACGACTTGTTTTTTCAGTAGCTGTTATATTTTTCAAGGCAAGTTGTGCAAGGCCTAACTTAACATAAAAATACTTAAAGCAAAAGAGGAATGTTGAGTGTATTAGGGTGTTAGGTAACTATCAGTGTAAAAAGTTTAACAAACACAAATGACATTGTTGTACATCAGGTTCTTTTTGCCATTTCTGTAATATATCAATAACATTATGAATTCATGTGCTATCAAAGTGATGACAAACAAATGTAAACGGTCATACATACTGATGTTAATTTTTCAGTTCTTATCAACTACATTCGACAAAAAAAATCAAGATAGCTGAAGAGCTAGCCCTAAGTTAGCTAGCGGATCCATGCACACAGCTTTTAACATAAGACACGGGAGCTCTGGGTGGATGCAAGATCTGTGCTGGTGGATCACTTTACAGGAGGGGTCCTTTGTTAGGAAAATCTGGACTAATTATGCTGACAGGTGGAAACCGGTTAATCATGAGGTTAAACTATCTGGGAAGCAACTAGATTATACTACATGCTCCCAGACCTTGTACAAGAGTGTCTCCCCAGAGCAAAATCATTAAGTTGTGGAATAGCTTCCTTCAAGCATTTACAGCTTGTATAATTGCAGATTATTCTCTTAGGCCCTATAAAAACATCTTCTAGCTGCACAGTTTAGAAATTAATGAATAAATACAATGGTATTTCAAAAATTTGCATCTACTCTAATCCTCTTCTAGTCTACAGTTTTATTTTGCTAACACTTTACTAGAGAATGAAATGGCAGAAATCTGAGTAATTTTGGTTGTCATTAAAATACTGTATATAAACAGGAAAAGTCAGAATAAGGCATTCTCAACACAAGCTTGAGGAACGTACATTTTCATGCCCAGTGGAACTAACATTTCAATTTCTTCCCAGAAGTAGTGGAATGTTTTTTGCATATAGATCCCCAAATACTTTTTGAATTTTACAGATAAAAAGCATTATTTCGTACATGAGTTTTAAAAGCATTGGCTTGGAATTTCCTTCCATTTCGTCTGCTGCAGGACTATGAATCTGGAAGGAAGCAGTTCAAAGAAACTGGTGACATACAGAAGACATACACTTCCATAAAACCAAATTAAATAGTATTTTGTTTCAAATACCATCTAGAAACACCGGATAGATGTATATGAAGTATACGCACTATGGTAGGTAGTTATTCATCCCCATGTTTTTACCTGCCGGTATTACTGCAAATAACACTGTTTCCATGACATGCCTTATGGAACAGTTTACTATTTTCATAAGCAGTCACATGCATTGAAGGTAGGATCACCAGCCAGTGCATTTGGCACCCCAAAGCAGAACCAGAGAGGCCAAGCTTACGAATCTCTCTTGCTGAATGACAAGTTAGCTGGTGTATGAAATGATGGATCTCAGCTGAAACAAGGAAGCACGTTGACCTAAGACATTTCTTCTGGAGCTGCTTCTGCTTCCTGAGTGGGTTTCTCTTCAGGTTTGCCATCATGGACGGGAGATGGGTTACGGCTGGGCTTGTTGCTGTCGTGCGCGCTGTGACCGCTGGCGCTGCCAAGGCGAGTTGATGCCACCACAGCTTTTACTGCAGCCTGAGAAAGAGAGGATCAAGCAAACATTCCTTAAAGGACACGGTCTGTCAGCGCTACAGCCTTAGCATCGTCCTTTCAGGGAATGTAACTGTGTTTAGTCTTCACGGTAATGTCACATTCAGATACCTGCCAGGGCCTGGACAGATTACAGAATTTTTTTTTCAGCTGCACATGCTGCATTTTTTTTTAGCAATTACTTCAGGTCTCCCATGTTGAAGTTAGATGGCAAAAAGAAAGTAAGTTATCTTCTGTCATAATAATAACAGTATTATTACTGATTATTCCATGAAAAGTTCACAGAGGGAAACAGTATTTATCACTATTGCACTATTGCATATGCCAAGCACAATGGTGCAGAGCACACGGGCAACTTCCTATGTATATATATAAATACACATTGAGGATAGGCTCTCATATCACATAAAATCTCACAAAATGAAGAGACATATTAGGACAGTTATCTTAGCCCTCGCCTTGAAGAGTTTTATTGCCTGAAAAAACAAACATACAGAGTTGAGGAAAAGAAATACTAATCTCTGTGTATGACAACTCTAGCTACTTTTGACTTGGCTAGCTTTTTGCTTAGGCATCACAGAAGAAGCAGGTCTGGATAGAATCATAGAATCATTAAGGTTGGAAAAGACCTCTAAGATCATCGAGGGCAGCAAGGGATAAGGAATATAGCAAGTTTTGTGGATGGTTTGGAGAGGTAACCATGTGAAAAGAAAAGAAAAAGAAGATGCTAATGAAAAAACAGACTACATAAACATTGGCAAGAAAGAAGAATCAGCTAACATAGAATATGAAGTCAAAGTACAAGGCATGAGCCAATAAAAGTGGCAATAATTTTGAAAGTGAAATTACAGATTACAAACAGAACAGGCCACTCAATGACTTTATAATGTATAAAGATACTTTTAATGTAATTTACTCTCACTAGCCATGTGGATGTTTATGAAACAAATTCAACACAATCCATGAAAAACCAAATCATGACTAAAAGCTTTGGAGTTATTCTATAAAAATATGTCTTTACGTAAAGAAAGCCTGCTGCTGGACTTGTATGTTGGGAAAGAGAGGATAATTTTATATTATTCTTACTAACAAAACAACAACAAAAGCATGTATTCACTACTTGGTTTTCTGCTTTGTTCTTATTTTTTGGACAGGAATTAATTGTCTAAAAATTGATAGTTCATTTTATACATATATATGTGTAAAACTATTAACTCTACAATAACTGCTAACTCCAGTTAATTCCCTTAATAATTGGAGATTTGGTCATTTAATCATTAATAGAAAAGCAATGAAGAAATAAACTTATAAAAAGCAACAGCTTTTAAACACAGAAGTATAAATTGGTTGACTATAGGGATCTAAATAAACTGGGCTTAAAAAAAATCTCGTTGGTGATCAAAGGTGTAAAAATATAAAGAGAATCAAAATCAAAACATGCAAAAAGAGCACGTGTTTCTTTGTGACCTCCTGGGCAGGGAATGTTACAGCTCACTCAGAAATAATGGAATTTATGACTCTGCTCACGCTCTGAAATCATTTTGATATAACAACGTTGCATGGCATCTTCAGTGAATACACAGCAATCCTGCTGTAAGGCTACAGAAATCTTCTGAAGAGAACAATGTTAATAGATACATCTACTCAGTTTCGCATGGGCAAAGCATCACTGTGAATTGTATCTACAGTGTCTGAGACCTTTGTAAATGACAAAACTTTTTTCTTTGCCCTGTAGAGATTCTCCATCATAGTTCCCTAATAGTACTGAAAAAAAAATCAGCAAAAACAAAGTTAAGGGCCATTGTTTGTGAATTTGCTTTTGCATAGGGGTTATAAGGTTCTCAGACAAGATTTCTTATTCCCCAGGGCTACAAGGGCAGCTTCACTGTAGCTGTTGGTAATAATTTCTGTGCTGAAGTATCCCTGGAAGTCTCTCCTAAGCAGACACAAATCTTTAACAACTGAAGAAGGGATTAGGACAGAAGAAAGTTTCTCGATGTTATGTCAGTTAGATGCCCAGCTGCCTGCCATCTGCACCTAAAAATGTTTCCCTGTTTCTTCCCATGGTAGATATGTAGACTAGATGGTAAAGGAGCATACTGGTGACTCAAAACCTAATGTAATTTTCAGCACAGGTCCCACCTGTACTCCTGCCTTGCAGCGCTTAACTTCCAGATGAAGAATGCTATTGCACATTTGCTCTCAGAGGTACTTGGAAATGCATGTTTTGGGCCTGTTTGTTAATCTCAACCCACACATTTTATGGACCTACATGTCTGAAATGCTGACTCTAGATCATACAGAAGGATGGCTTAAGCTCCTGCTTTGTATTGATAGGTATAGAAACTGAGGGTGGCTAACAGATCAAATTATGCTATGGTAGATTAAATATCTTCCAGATTTATGGATGCTCATGAAGATACTCCTCAGAATTTTGTTCTTTCTGGTCAATACTCTAAGGATGTGCAAGCAGTACAGGACAGACGGATGGACAGAAGCAAGAAAAGAAGAAGGGAAGAAAGAAAGGAAGGAAAGAAGGTAAGGAATTTGCAAAAGCTGTGTACACTCTCAGCAGTTCTGTCTGTGTAGATAGAGTTTTCAACCAACCTCACACATTTTTATTTGTTTGGCTGCAGACATTGACTAAATCAGCTTCAACTTTTTCATTTTCATCAGTCATCTTAAATAAAAAGCTTCCATACCACTATGGAACGTTGTCCTGAAAAGTGTGCAAGGTTTCTGTAAAGGTACTAATTTAATTGCATGCTTTCATAGCCAAAACAGAGACCATGTCCACAGACTTGCCTTAAGTTTACGCCGGGCATTGAATTCTTGAAGTTTCTTTTGTGCATTGTCCATATGTGCAAAGTTTGCTGCCTTCCCTGTGACCCATGGGTGCTGCAAAGCCTGTAGAGTGGTGAGGCGTTTCTTGGGGTCTAAAACAATCAACTTTTTAACCTGCATCACAAGGAAGAAATATAGAAGACTGTTAACCTTACTCTTCATTTACATTTATTGAGCTTTGCATTTTGTGGCTTTGGTCTTGGTTTGGGAAGCATCTTAGTGAAACACATTCTAAGAAACCAACAAGAATTTGCATTCAGGTCTTTGCATGTATTTTGTTTCCGGCATTTCTTGGTCCTCCATAAATAACATCTGAATAAGACAGCCACTAAGGGGGAAGAGAGGAGAAAAAGAATCAACCGGTTACCAATATTTGTCAGAGTACATACCAATGCAGCTGGCCTATATCTGCCATAGGCTGTTCTATGTCTGAATTGTCACATAAACCCTAAGAGATTCTCAAAATACCCCCATCCAGGCAGTTCTCTTAGCAGTATCCCCACTTTTGGATTTGGACAAGGTTTAAACTGGATTAGAAAGTTTAAATTCTAGTGTGTGCAACTCATGCAGTCACTGCCAGGTACATCACAGACAAAATGCTTCTTTCAGTCACCATAAAACCTCATGTACACATGAATTAAAAAGTACTATACAAGTATTTCTCTCTTAGCCCATTCTGAAACTAATGCTGTTTATGCCATTCTTTCTGTTATTGAAACCAGGAAAGCTGCACTTCTCCAAACACAACAGTAGGGCATTTTTGGGAACAAGGGACTGCAGACATACCCCTGGGAGTGGAGGTGGTACAAACTCTGGATACAAAGTGTGTCCAGTCAATCTGCATTTCATGGGTTTTGCTGTATGTCTGGACAAGTGGTGTTTTGAAAAAAAAGAAGGGTGAGGATAGAGTAAAGAAGTACACGAATAGTACTCTGCTGACTGCACACCCTCTTGGAGCAGAGTGCAAGTGATGGCACAGGGCTCCACCACTGCTATGTGCCCAAGTGTGAGGGGAGGACTCGCTTTAGGGCTCTCTGAGATTTCCCCACAGAGAGCTATTAAAGAAAGTCAGTGCCCTGAAGTAGGTGCAGGAGAACAGGCATCGTGATGAACACCCACTATGCATCCACAGAAGAGGTCAAGTTAAGCAAACCACTTCAACTGAACACCCCAGAACTTCCCACAGCATGGGCTTTGAAAGCCATGGTCTTCATCCTTATCTACAGCTTGCTATACAGTGTTCAAACCTGAAACTCTGAGTGGTACTGTAGCAAAACAGTAGGGATCAGTTTGGACCAAAGCTCTCTGTATACAATAAATGAGCAGCTTTGTTGCAGGCTGCTGTTTATCTGGTTTTGACGACACAAGGCAGTAAATGATATTTTTTTGGCCTTAAAAAAAGTCACATCTAATACAACAACAAAAAAGTACTTTGAACTTCTACAGTCCTTCCATTTGAGGCATCCTGAAGTACTTTATAAACACTAATTATGTAGTATTTTATGGCATAGTTTGTATAAGTAATATGGAACTGAGCATTTGTGTCTTCAGTGCTAATGAAATAACTGAATTGTGCAAGTTATTGTTGACTAAAAATCAAACTCAAGCATACCTATCTTTGCAGATCAGTGTCTCCTGGATCCAACCTACTTTATCCAGTAATAAAAGAATACAGTGCAGACAGCATGCCAGCCCTTGCGTTTTGCTAACGGACCACACTTAAAAGCAATGAGTCTTCCCTCATTTACTAAGAGAAAGCTTAAGTGGACAGAAAAAGGTTGTCAGCAAAAGCGGGTTGTAGGACGGTGTTTTTACATCCTTCCTCCAAAGTTCAGACTTGAAAACTGGGCTAGTTTCTACATTCCCTGAAGGTGGTTGCCCTGCAAAGAGGAATGATAAAACGCCTCAGAGCTAGCATGAAAGGCCCGCATACATGAACACTGTGACAGCTGCCAACAATCTGTGGCTTAGTTCACAGAAGGACCTGAACATCCATGGTTTTGAGTGCAAAATTACAGCACTGGACTAACGGGATACTTAACAGTACCATAATATACTAGAGACAAGAAGAAGAAAAGCAAGGAGCCATATGAACAATTAATTAACTAATTATTCTGCCCCCACCCCAAAATGGACTCTTTTTCTCAGTGGAAGTGATACTAGCCAAATACGTATCAGCAACAGTACTCCAGTCTCGTTTTTGCTTTACTTACTAAATCCTTGGCATTCAGAGACACGTCATCCCACCAGGGGGACACAAAGTCATATTCACAGTTCAGGATTCTCTTAAACATGTACTGATCTCCCCTTTCATCATAAAATGGTTCAAAGCCACAAAGTCTGCAAGGATAAAAAAGCAAGAAATTTATCAAAGATTAATCAGTCTTGGGCTATTAGAAACAGTTTTTCCCTACTTTGTGTCCTGTACTCCACTTTGGGAAACCAGACCTGGATGTACCTATGAACTCCTAATTCTACAGAGCAGAGCAAAATGTGGTCATAAGTGTTCATAAGCAATGGGAAAGGCTCAACGGCTCAAAGACTCAATGGGAAAGGATCAAATTGTAAATTTTCCATTTTCACATGTCTGTAACTGGAACTATTAATACAGGGACTTAACATAAGAGTAGCCATCCAACAGTTGATACCTGTTTACCTTCTACATGCCAGTAAGTATTTTCTAGCAGCTCTTCACTCTGCTGGTCTCAGGCTTAAGTCCCTTGGACTATTTAGTCATTCCTCAGTCTGAAACTTTGCTCATCCCTGCTCTCTTCTGTGAGTCTTCTCCAGCTGTGTGTCTTTTTGAAGTGGGTGCAAACAGCATTCAGTGTGGGCACACCATGGAGTGGCAAATTAGCATAATGATGTTTTCTATATTAATCTCCCTTTCTTTGTTAACAGTTTTTGACCTTGGATCTGCTTTTCTGGATTGTTTACAAGCACAGAGTTAACGTGTTCATAGAGGACTTATCAGAATCCCTGTAACTCTTTCCTGAGGGATAGGAATTAGCTGAGGAAGCACACTTTACCTGTGAAATTAGAAGTTTTCATATGTCCAGTTAGGACTAGTTTTTGATTATGTTCATCGCTGTACGTTATTTCATCTTATCATCCACAAAACGTAAAAACCTTCAGCAGGTTTTAATAATCAGACCTCATCTTTACTTAGGTAACCTACATAGTATCAAGAAATTTTGTAATCTCACTAATGACTGCATTTATGAATGTATGAATAATACAGATCCTGACACAGATCCACACTGCTGGCCCTGGGGAAAGCAAACTCATAGAAGTAGTTTCCATTTATATAATGTCCTTTTTTGTTGCTTCATTGCACTTTAATCTGCCTGCACACATAATCATATGTTTTAAAGTGAACTTCCTGTTCAACCAGTATGTGTTCTGAACTAAACAGAAAGTCTGTCTGCTACTCTGCCTCCAGAAAATGCAACAAGCAATGAGATGACAGGAAAAGAACAGCATACCATAAAGAAAAAGACAGCAACAAATCTAGAAAATTCAATCTTACTTTTAGCTTTTTTTTATGTTTTTAAACCCAATCAGTGTGCTTACTGTCCACAGAAAGGAGACAGATGTTCAAGGACGAAATGTGGTTTTGAGAGTGGTGTGTAGCCACGGGTGGAACAGCTGCATCACTTTGCAGTGCCGGAGAGGAGAAAACCTCCACTGTAAGCACATTCTGGGTGCGTTATTAATTTCCAAGTCTGGCAGAGATGGGTTAAACCACAAGAATCCAACCTCCAAATACTTTGCTTCAGTAGGTGGGAGTTGGTCACAGTCCCTCTGCTGCTCCCCTCTCATTTGCCTGCCTCTCCCACCACCACTTCTGAGCTTGGTTCAGGTCGGCTCCTATCCCCATGGAGCACCTTTGCTGAGCAGGGTTGTTGGGCCACTAACTGGTTCAGCCAAAATGTGCTTTGGAATACCAGGTAACTGATGACATACAGTGAGACCATGCTTAAGGCTTGCTGTGACTGTGTTGGAAGCCTTCTAAGTGATTCTCTATTTACTCCTAAAAATATTTTCATCGTAACTCACTACTATCACCTATTGTTGTCTTATTAACAATTTCTATAGATAACGCTTCTACTTAAAAAAATTTCATTTCAGCAGACAGATTAGATGAATAAAACTAGAGGTGTGATTTCAAATTAGATAAATTAAACCAGGGTAAGACCCAGCATGGCTGCTCTTGATTTCATTTAAACCAGGATTATGCTGATTCATTTTAAATCAATTACCTACCAAATAAAGAAAAATCGATGTAAACAGCTTCAAAATCAATTAGAAATGACCAGACAGTGTTTAGTGCCCTTTTAAGTGAGTTAGTAAAAAACCACCTTTAATTAAATCCATGCAATTTTGACTACAGGCAAAGCCTCTGTATTTGTTGACCACTATCTGCATCTCAAATGTGCAGTAGCATTTCTAACCTGCTGTAGGAGTACAAAAGGACTGGTCCTCTTTGCTGTTAAAACTATAAATGTGGCTTCCTTGGAATTATGACAGTTATTATCAGTAGGTCTTAATATAATTTGCCTGAGGAATAATCGTTCAGTCAAAATATGTGTCAAAGTTTTTCTTAATCACATGGTAAGTCCACTTTGTATAGGTGAGAAGATACAGTTTTATGCACGTCTTCTGTAGCATGGTAGTTAACTCCTAAATCCACTCTGTTTTGGAGGCACATACAACAATGTATTTTTTTGACTGTACATAAGTGCATTCCCTCTACTAAACTACGAGACTGAGACATGCAACACTGCCCTTTAGGCTGCAGGATTAATCAATTAATTACTGTACATGTATCTTTCTGATCTCAGTTTCTAACCCATCAGAAATGTTGACCTACAAAGCTTTATACTCAATAGAAGAGTTTTAAATGTGGAGTGTTATTAAAGCTAAATGGAAGAGATGGTCAAGTGGATTCACCTAGCACCCTTTTTGCCTGGCTTGCTCCTGTAGGTCAAATTGGATTTCAAGAGGGGAGGAGGAGAGGAACAGAAGGAGGAAGAAGTAGAGGAGTATCTGTACTGGTGGTGTCCCACCCAGAGCAGGAGCTCACACACTTGTGTTTACACCGGTGCAGAGGTTTAACGTGGCTTGGGAGCATCTCCTGAACAGCTGGAAGGTTTTGAAAGGCCGCATATAGCAAATGCCACTCTGTATATTCAAATAGGAATTCGCTGTACGTTCTTGCTTGGAGCTTGCCTACACTTGAAAGCAAGTTCTGCTTAAGGAAGGCTCTCAGTTTCAAGTACAACAACTATCCCTCAGTCGTTGACTAACTAGGCAAGCCTGTGACTTAATCTAGGTATCTTTGTAAAGGGACAAGAAAAGGCACCTCTCCAATCACAGGGACAGCCCTGCTGGCAAATTTCACATCTCTCTATCTATGCGTGGACCACCAGAACTGAGAAAAAATGATCACCTGGCAGGCAATATCTGAGATGTGATCTTCTTCAGACTTGAACCAGGCCTTGAGACAAAGATTCACATTTTAAAAAGAGCAGATAACAAAATGGCAAATAGGAATATTGTAGCCTATTATTTACAGGCACTCAAAAGGAGAGCTGTGACTTATTTGAAGCTTATGTACAGAACAAAAGATGTTTTCTGGTATTTTCATCAGAGCATTTATATATCCTTACAAGTACTTTTCGTATAAACCCTAGAAAATATAATTCTTTCTTTGCAAAAGACACAAAGAAAAGAACTGTATTATTACACACTGTACTTGCTGTACACATTCTCCTCTCTAAACTGGAGAGGTATGGATTTGATAGGTGGACTGGCCGGTGGGTGAGGAGTTGGTTGGATGGACGCACCAGAGGGTAGTGGTCATCAGCTCAATGTCCAGATGGAGATCAGTGACGAGTGGCGTCCTGCAGGGGTCTGCATTAGGACCGGTACTGTTTAGTATCTTCATCAATGACATAGACAGTGGGATCGAGTGCACCCTTAGCAAGTTTGCAGATGACACCAAGCTGAGTGGTGCTGTTGACACGCCTGAGGGATGGGATGCCATCCAGAGAGACCTGGACAAGCTCGAGAAGTGGGCCACTGTGAACCTCATGAGGCTCAACAA